TGGGTCAATCACCCAACTTACAAAAGCTGACCACCACGAAAGGAACTTTCCGGGTCAGCTCGGTCTGCCCACACTTGTCTCCTTTGGTCCGCTGGAATGACCGTGATGTGTCCCTGTTGGCTTTCACGCTTTGAGGCAACTAAAATGCGTGTTCTTGTTCAGCACGAACCACCTTTTCCCAACAATAAGTTGACACACAGGTTCAGTTTCACTGCACTTTTATTTGGTATAATATTCAAATAGTTTTATAAAATATATTTTGGCACATGCCAATTTAGCTTGTTGGATCAACGAAACAAAAAATTCTACTGAACTCTTCCTCTCTCTTTGCGGTGTTTTGCCTTTTGGTGGTTGTTCTTACACTGACGATGCTAATGCGGCTGTGTGCATTCTATGACTACAACTATTTCTTTTTGTTTTTCATACACGCAAAAAAGTAGCAACAAAGAGAGAGGTAGAGTCAGAGACAACAAAAAACGAAGTCGGCATCATCCATCGCCGTAATAATTGGGAGTGGAAAACGCATTTGCAAGTGTTGCAATGTAGCGTTTTCGTGCATAAACATCCTCCACCCCTTGGGACTAGTTCCCAACTATACATATGTGAATTCATTGTAATATTTATGACTTATAGCTACTTAACTAAAAACGAATATAAATGTTGTAGTTCAATGAATTGATGCAAGGTCCAGCCTTGTTGTGAGGTAATATTAAATTCAAATAAATGCTAATCCTGAAGTGCCATGGAGTCAGGTATCATAATTTGGGAACGATTGACTGGAACTTCCCCAAAGAACGTCCACCCGAATATGGTTTTTTGGGCATACGGCAAGTTAGGCCTGAAGACTGGTAGTCCCATGAATATGCCTTCTGAGGCATCACTTCCCAAAACAATATTCACAGGCCCAGGTCTATAGAGTTCCTGATCCGCTACATCCTTCTTTGGGTACAGGCCCTTGAGGCAACGTAAATCAAGCGGACGACTGGGCATAGTGCGTGGTGGTTTGTGACGTCGCTTTAGTGTGCCAGTATATGTACGCACCCGATTCCTCATAGAGGTCAATACCACACGAACCGAAGCTCCGAATTCTGGCTTGAATGCGGGAAGGGGGCCACCGAAACGTATAGTACTCTCGGTCTTTAACGGGTTTATGTACACCCTTACCTTAATTGGGGAGTCTATGAGACCAGGTATGTGCAGAAGTACCTCCGCCGTCATTTTCAGCCACTCCTTTCCGGTTTCATCGAGCGCGTGCAACATGGTGTTATGGGGCAATTGGCATCTCCTACACCCTTCCAGTAGGGGACAATCCGCAACCTTGTGTGACATTCCAAGACAGTTGGCGCAGTACTCCTGAACGGTCACACAAACGGCCTTTTGGGTAGGTGGCAATTGTAGGAACGTGCGACAGTTTCTAAGCCCATGACGAGCGTGGCAAAAGGGGCATTTGTAGTTGTCGTTGTAGCTCATCTGCAATAGAGAAAATGTAGTGATTTGGGGACAACTTTATTGGGTTAGCTATGAGACAACATTGGCTGGATTATTGCTGGACCATTATTATGCACGAGGAAGTAAGACGAGTTTATGGATGGGGCGCGAAATTGTCCCATTCTGAGTTTTCAAACTCACGACCCTAACGCGACCATCATGACCTCGGTGCAATTCTATAACGCGGCCTAGTCGCCATTCATTCGATGCTATTGAGTCAGTATGAAGAACCACTAGGTCATTTATCCGCAGGTCGTCCTGAGCCTGCTTCCACTTTGTGCGCTTGTGTAGCTCCCTTATATATTCTGATTTCCAACGTCTGCAGAATTCCTGTGTAATGAACCTCAACCGTCGCCAGCGGTTTTGCATCGACATTTTCTCCCTCTGTTCTGGTTCAGCGGTAGAAAGCAGTGAGCTTCCGATGAGAAAGTGCCCGGGAGTAAGAGCGCCAAAGTCATCGACATTGTTAGACAAAGGGGTAAGAGGCCTCGAATTGAGGCAACTTTCGATATTGGCAAGAATTGTGGCAAATTCTTCAAAGGTGTGTTTGATCTGACCTGAGATCTTTTTTAAGTGTGCTTTACAACTTTTTACGCCCGCCTCCCAAAGCCCACCCATGTGGGGCGCTGCAGCAGGTATAAAGTGCCATTCTAATTTTTGGAATCCGTACTTTACCACGGCTTCGTCTTTCAGCTCTGAGACAACTTTTGTGAAATTAGCTCGAAGCTCTCGATCGGCACCAACGAAATTTTTGCCGTTATCCGAATAAATGTGATGAGGACAACCCCGTCGAGACACAAAACGAGACAACGCAGCTAAGAAGGCGGGGGTGGAAAGATCGCTTACAGGTTCCAAGTGGATGGCCTTTGTGACAAAGCAAACGAATAAGCATATGTATCCCTTGGATATACGACACCCACGACCGTTAAAGGTTTTAATTTCAAATGGCCCAGCAAAGTCTACGCCTGAGGTGGCAAATGGTCTGCTGAAGGTTGTCCTCTCAGGAGGAAGAGCCGCCATAAGCTGAACTTGACGCCTCTTCTGAGCCATTATACATCGTACACACTTCCTGTAGCGAGTTTTCACAAGATTTCTTCCTCTTATTATCCAGCACTCGAGTCTAGTCGTAGCCAAAGTTAGCTGTATGCCGCCATGATTCGTTTGCCTATGAATATGGTCGACGTAGAGCTCAGCGAACCTGCTACTATATGCCAAGATAATTGGATACCGCTCGTCATACGACAGAGATAGAGCATTGCCTAAACGTCCGTTCGCTCGGATAAGCTGGTGTTCGTCGAGAAAAGGATTGAGAGACAAGAGAGTGCTGCCAGATTCTAACTTTAATTTCTTATTGAGGCAATCGAATTCCTGGGGAAAGTGAATTCTCTGAGAGATGGACATCAATCGGTAACGAGCGAAACGTATCTCCTCTGCCGACAACCTAATGTTGTCAAATTGAGACAATTTCTTTGTATTCGGATGAGTTCGACGGACAAAGCGGAAAATGTAAGCTATAGCATGAATAGCTGTAGAAAAATGAGAAAATCGGTCCAAAACGTCATGTTGAACAGCGGATTGGGCAAGATGCACTTTAGTCGGTTTTGATTCGAGGGTGGTTTCCGGTATAATTATGCCTGAGGGCCATTCCTTCATGTCCAATGTGAGCCAACTTGGTCCGTGCCACCACATATGACACTCCTTTAGCTCTAAAGGAGTCCGCCCCCGGGTTGCCAAATCTGCAGGGTTATCGTATGTTGGTACATGACGCCAATCACCACCAATCTTTTCCTGGATAGTTGACACCCTGTTAGCAACAAAGGTTGTCCAGCTATATGACGGTTTTTTGAGCCAAGACAGTACGATGGTCGAGTCAGACCAGGCTATCAAAGGGGCTTTAGGAAGCTCTAATTGTGGGACTACTGAATCTACCAATTCAGCAAGAAGAAGAGCACCGCAGAGCTCCAAACGAGGTAACGACGTCTTTTTCAATGGGGCCACCTTGGATTTAGCCACAAGCAAATTCGAGACAACAGACATTCCAACTTCTACCCTCAGGTATAGTGCCGCTGCATATGCTGACTCCGATGAGTCGCAAAATCCATGTAACTCTATTTTGCAATCAGGCGAATATTCTACCCAGCGAGGAATATTAATTTGTCCAATTGCCTCAGAATTCGAGACAAAAGTTTTCCAATTTATATACGCGAGTGGCTTTAAAGGATCGTCCCATCCAATGTCATCAAGCCATAATTGTTGCATCAGAATTTTTGCTGTTACAACGATGGGCGAAAGCCATCCCAAAGGGTCAAAAACTTTGGCGATAATCGAAAGTACCTGTCTTTTAGTATAAGAACTTTTATCTTCGATTTTGTCCATGACGAAATAAAAAGAGTCGCAGGACGCGTTCCAGCGAATACCTAACGTTTTCGCCGAACTTTTGTCGCCCAATTCAAGAAATTCATTATTCAGAAGGTCACACCGAGGCAGACCCTTAATAATTTCTTTGGAATTCGATGTCCATTTTCTTAGTTCGAACCCTGCGGTTTTAAGAATATTTATAAGAGATTCTCTTGCCTCAATTCCTTCGGAAATAGTATGTACGCCGACTAAAGCATCATCAACGTACATATTGTTCCGCAATATCTTAGAGCCAACTGGGAAACGATGTTCTTCATCATCTGCAAGCTTTAAAAGCGTCCTAAGGGCTAAATAGGGAGCGCAATTGACGCCAAACGTCACAGTCTTCAACTGATAATCAGTCAGGTCATTTTCTGGGGATGATCTGTACAGTATCCTCTGATATTTTGTATGTTTAGGATTTACCCAAATCTGACGATACATTTTAGTAATATCAGCGTTAAAGACAAACTGATATATTCTCCAATTCAGCACCAACGAAACAATATCTTTTTGAAGTGTAGGGCCAACATATAAAGCATCATTCAGACTTCTTCCCTCCACTGAGGGACAAGAGACATTAAACACGACTCTTAGTTTAGTCGTTGCACTTTCTGGCTTGAAAACGCCAGGATGAGGCAAATAATAACAGTCCTGATAGTCTACTAACCCTTCCACCTTTTCCATATGTCCCAAAGACAAATATTCCAACAGGACATTGTCATAATCAATCTTTCGCTCGGGATTTCGCGCAAGTGACGTCTCGTTGCGCAAAAATTGTGAAAGGGCGACATATCGACTTGATTTGGAGGAAAATGAAAAGGGTAAATTCGACCGGAAAGGTAAGTCCACTGTATACCTCCCATCAGGACTTCGAATAGTAGTTGATACGTAAATTTCCTCACATCTACGGTCATCATCTGAGACAACAGGTATTCTGGGAACCTCCTCAATCTCCCAGAATTTTGCCAATTGATCTTTTACCGCCACCCTAGTGCAATGGGAAACACTGACTCTCTGACGATTGCCCAAATTTGTCGCTGGGCCGGTCAATATCCACCCAAAGACTGTCTCCTGAGCCAACAAAGAACCCATAATATCCTTTTTCACTCCATTTAGCAAAATAATAGGATAAACGTTTCCACCAAGTAAGATATCAACTGGTGCACTTTGGTAAAATTCCGGATCAGCCAAATCCAGACCCGGCAACTTATCGATGGAGATTTTATCCAAAGGCTGCGTAGGAATATCTCCAGTTATCTCTGGGACAACAAATGCCTCTAAATCTAGAGAAAAAGTACTCTTTAGCGATCCAATCGTGACTGAGGCAATTTTGGTACACCTGGCCAAGTGTCCACCACCCATTCCGGAAATATCGGCGTATACAGAAGTTGTTGGTAGCTTCAGCTTTTTCTGCATGCGTGAGGAAATAAAAGTGTCGTCCGAACAAGGGTCAATTAATGCACGGATTTTGAACGAAGTCCCGTTTTTTAAAATGTTTACCCATGCCGTGGCAAGCATAGTTTTATTCGACACAGATGTGTGAAAATTTCGTCCATTTGTTGTTGGAGCAGATGATAAATTTTTAATCGACATAGACAACTGAGGCAGACTGGGACTTCCATTTACATCAGAGCCAATAGTTTGAGCGTTGCTTTCCTTGTGCAAAAGTATATGATGTTTAGCTTTGCACTTTGTACAACCTTGATTGTTGCATTTTGCTGCTCTATGACCCTGTGTCAAACAATTTATACATTTGTTCTGTCGCTTTACTACATTTAACCTGCCCCTAAAATCCATGCTCAAGAATCTTGGACAAGATTTCAAATAATGAGAACCTCTACACAAATTACATTTGTTCTCGTTTACTTTAGTGTGATGAACCTTAAAATTTTTGGGCTTATCGAATTGGGTAAACTTTTGCCGAGGTCCCTGATTCTGTTGAGCCATATTTGAGGAAGTCATATCTGATACGCTCTCCAAGGACTGAAATCTCTCAGTGAGAAACTTATTTAAATCCTCCCAACAAGGCAATTCTGTTTTCTTTACCAATGACTGTTCCCATAGAGACAGAGTTAACTTGGGCATCTTAGAAGAACATTGGTAAACAAAAATTGGATCCCATGACTTTACGTCAATTTTGTATAGCTCCAGAATCGAAATACAATTTGTCACATCTCGCTGCAATTTTTTGAGACAGCTTGCAGTTTCTTGCCCACAATGAGCCAAATTAAACAAGATTCTTAATTGAGAATTTATCAAGATTCTTTTATTCTCGTACTGGTTACGTAGGTTGTCCCAGGCAATTGTAAAACCTTCCGCCGATAAAGGAATATGACGATTTATCTCTCTGGCTTCTCCGCTCGTTTTTTGAAAAAGATGGTAGAGCTTCTCTACCGCGCTGAGCCTTTTATTATTTATGTAAATTGCCGTGAATAAATCACGAAAACCGGGCCATGATATATAATCCCCTTCAAAAATTTCAGTATCGCACGGTGGAACCGCAATTGAGGAAGACGACTTCTGATTAGTACTGCTTGGGACAACCTTAACTTTTTCTTTCATATCTCCTAGGAGACTTATACATTTTATATAGCTCTGATGAGCAAGTTTCTTTTTCATTTTGATGACATCTTTATTCTTCTTCATACATTCGTGGTCCTCGGTACATGTTTTGTACGTGCCCTTCCATTCGGACCACAATTTCTGAAGCTCCACTATCTCAGCCTCAATCGCTGAGTCATTATAAATTGAGGCATCAGATTCCACAAGGTTTTCCTCGAAGGATGTGATTTCATCACATTGAAGCAAAAAGTCTTCCATCACAATTTTTGACTAAAAGTCGAGAGACAAAAATGATAACCGAGACAAAAAATATTGGCTTTCTGAACGTATTCAAAAAACGATAAATTTAATTGCCAATATGCGACAAAAAATATCTTAGAACCAAAGTGTGTCACCAGTTCACCAAATGAATGTCCTATTTTATCCCAATATTCTTAAAAAATATTGTGAAGTACTCCTAAGTCAATGAGTCAATGAGAAAATGTCCACAGCTTTCAATTTATCGCTCCTCTTTGTCTGAACTAAACTTCAGATCTCCAAATGAGTAAACTTGTGGTTTCAAATAATCTCCAAAAACAACCGACAAAGATCCTCAATAATTTATTTTTATCATAATCGAATTGTACAGCATTAAAAAATATTATGCCATTTCGCAATTCTGGTTGGGACAATTTTACAAATTTTCAGAAAATTCAAAACTTCCGATATTTTTTTTCCAACCGCAGGTGTAGAAGCGTACAACAGTTTTCCAATAAACTAAACTTCCACTTCGCAAGATGCTGTCTTCAATACTGTTTCCAAAAACAGCTTCCAATTTACTGTTGAGAAACACAGCGCTCCAAAAAAAATATGTTTCCAATGAGACATAGAGCCAATGATACAATTAGAATTTCTCTACTTCAACCACTTTCTTCAATAATGGTTATGCCCAAATCCAAATTCAAAAATATTTATTTGCCTTTGCTTGCTTTACTTGTCTTTCCATTAGAACAAGAAATCTGTCAACCTCGCACGACATATAGAAAACCGTAAGGCAATAACAAAAAACAACACGATGGTTGTGAGCAGGCACAACAACTACCTGCATTCAATGAGGCAAAATCATAAACGCATTGCTTCAATGTTAAACAACAACAATAGCAACAGAGGCAGCGCACCACGCATTTAACTGCACGCCAGCAGCACTGTCAGCGCACAAGCAGTGAACCAACATTCAGCAAAAACAACAATGTTTACCAGGGTCCAAAATCTCCAACGAGAGCGACCAACAATGCAGGCAAACGAAAAAAGTGCCGGTTCAACATACAACAATAACAACAGGGTAGGGAATCAAAAAAAAAAACCGTAGCAACGGTATATCGGATGGTGATCATCTACGTTTTCACACAATTTTGTAATAATTAATTTACAAAATTTTCTTCAAATACCCAAGCAGCCGAGCCAATTTATATCACACAGTTTTTTAAAAATAATTTGTGTACTCACTGTTCCAATATTCCTTTTTCCCTTGTTGTAGTTTTTATCGACGGCTTTTGAAGGACCAATGTTTGGGTCAATCACCCAACTTACAAAAGCTGACCACCACGAAAGGAACTTTCCGGGTCAGCTCGGTCTGCCCACACTTGTCTCCTTTGGTCCGCTGGAATGACCGTGATGTGTCCCTGTTGGCTTTCACGCTTTGAGGCAACTAAAATGCGTGTTCTTGTTCAGCACGAACCACCTTTTCCCAACAATAAGTTGACACACAGGTTCAGTTTCACTGCACTTTTATTTGGTATAATATTCAAATAGTTTTATAAAATATATTTTGGCACATGCCAATTTAGCTTGTTGGGTCAACGAAACAAAAAATTCTACTGAACTCTTCCTCTCTCTTTGCGGTGTTTTGCCTTTTGGTGGTTGTTCTTACACTGACGATGCTAATGCGGCTGTGTGCATTCTATGACTACAACTATTTCTTTTTGTTTTTCATACACGCAAAAAAGTAGCAACAAAGAGAGAGGTAGAGTCAGAGACAACAAAAAACGAAGTCGGCATCATCCATCGCCGTAATAATTGGGAGTGGAAAACGCATTTGCAAGTGTTGCAATGTAGCGTTTTCGTGCATAAACAATAATAATAATAATAATAATAATAATAATAATAATAACAATAATCATAATAATAACAATAATAATAATAATAATAATAATAATAATAATAATAATAATAATAATAATAATAATAATAATATATTAATAATAATAATAATAATAATAATAATAATAATAATAATAATAATAATAATAATAATAATAATAATAATAATAATAATAATAATAATAATAAGTTGCCAGACAAAGTTGGCTGATAAATTCCATATTCACAGTAGATCTTTTGCTGAGAAGAATATTAAGACGTACCAAATTTTTTCATAAGCCATTACAATATTCAAATACGAAACTTAAAAAAAAATCGGTGAATAATGTAGCTAAAATCATCAATATAGCGAGGTACAATTATATGGGGCTATACCAAAATATGGACCTGCACAGACACTTTTCTGTCATAGGTTGTAGTATCTATTACGAACTTCAAATACCAAATGTGAAACAATTCCGGTGAAAAAATGTCGCTAAAATCATCAAAGTACCGAATATCGGGAGGTACCGTTATATAAGAGCTATACAAAGACGTGGACCTGCACAGACAATTTTCTGTCAAAAGGTGTAGTATTTGTTACGAACTTCAAATACCAAATTTGAAACAATTCCGGTGAAAAAATGTCGCTAAAATCATCAAAATACCGAAAAAAGACGTGGACCTGCACAGACAATTTTCTGTCTTAGGCTGTAGTAACATTAAATAGGGACTATAGCAAAACGTGGATCTACATGGCCCATTTTTTATACAAAAAGTCCGGCAGAATAATATATATTTGAGTAAAATTTTATCAATCAACTTCATTTCGTTCGAAGGCTAGAGTGATTTCCCCAGATGGACCGACGAACGGACATCGACATAGAATTTTATGCTGATCAAGAATATATATTACGTTGTTGGGTCTAAAATGTGTATTTCGAGGTGTTACGATGGGAATGACAAACTTAATATACATATATAATATAAGAAAAATCGTTGATTTCTTTTGCAACTTAAACTGTTAACAATTACGATCCGTTGTGGGGGAAGTACCACAAGGATAGACGGAATATACGTATGTGTGAAATTTGAAGAGAATCAGGCGCTTATTTCACATTTTACAAGAGTTATAATTTTTCAAAATTTGACCTTTTGTTGGGGAGGTTCTTGATGGAGTGGATATTTGATATTTGTTAATTTTGCACCGGAACTAACACTGACACGAATATTGTGCAATGATTTTCTGTCTATGCAGTATGAACAATCTTCCTTTAATATTGGAAAAATCATTTCGTATTTTCTTAAATCACGTAATCCGCATAAGAAAATGTGCGGAGTTAATTACTATTTAATAATGTTTTTTTTGTTTTTTTTTTTGTTTTTTTTTTACTATAATACCCTCACGCATTGTGTAAAACAAAGCGGGAAAATATTTTGTGAAAGAGAAAATTATGCAACAACATTTTAATTTTAAAAATACTGAAATATATTGGTTAAATAATTTTTAAAATCTTCTTTTATATATCATGATGTAACATTTAATTTTATACAATAATTTTAATATAATAATAATAATTTGTATTCTACATACCGGATTCTATATACCGGATATTCCCGCAGTGCTAATTGGCCTATCTAGATGAAGGGATTACCTGTACACATCATATCTCATGTTGAATCGTGAGTGTGTGTGGATCCTTGCTATGGTAATAAATACCAACACATTATTTGAGCAATGATATGACCAACATGTTTGTCGGAATATTATGCGGATTTAGAATGAAATGACTATTGCAACATTTCCTAAAGTGGACAGTAATAATGTCAAGTGGTTTCGTTTCATTTGATATGGGTCGTGAATAGTAAGATCTTGCAATGAAAGTACTTCTTTCGATATTGCATTTGTTAAGCATTCGATATATCATCCTTTCCGCTCTCTTTGTGGTTTAGTCTTCACTGAAAAGAAAAACATTTGATTCCTCTGCAGTGCTATCCTCTGATAGAAGCATAAAGTATTTCTAAAGAATGAAAAAATATATATTGAATTAAGCAGTAATTAAAAACCTAAAAATTAAAATCTAACACTGAATGTAGAAATGTAATAAAAAACTTCAGTCGGTTTCTCATATTCGTAGATGTTAGGTTTATACACCACTAAACGAAAGTTCTTCTTCAATTCGCATGAAATGTATATGTTTTTTCATTTAACGTTTAGTAGAGATGCACATATATAGTCCATCTTCTTACATCTTGCTTCCCATTTAAAACTTACATAAATTTGATAAAAATCAAGTAAAAAAGCTGTAAGTTCGGACGGGCCGATCTTTGAAACAATTTTGGCAAATTTTCAAAAATAAAAAAAAATAAAACAAGTAAGCAAAGGCTATAGTCGTGCGGGGCCGACCATGTGATACCCTACAGCACTACAATATGTGAGAAGCCCCCTCATGAGCAAGTCCTTTTTGGAAGATTTCGCTTTTGAAATTATGTCACGGAGCACTGAGCACATTTTCCCGATATTTATGCACTCCGTCGTGCTGTTAGTTTTTGTGGTCCATCTTACGGCTAAATAAAATCCAATGGTCATCCAAAATGCCAGAATTCTTCCCTGTGCTTAACTATCTTCTCAGGCATGTCGATTGGCTTCAATTGTGTGATCAGGAATTTTTTTCTGTTGTTGATTCATTTGAACTCCCTAATATTTTGCGATCATCTCCAAAAGCAAGAGGCCCCTCTGTGTCTCCAAATTTAGAGTCATCTATATGATTTGCTTGTCTACGATATTTGGCTATATTCGTCAACGAAATCAGCATAAAAAAGCTAGAAGTTGGCCTATTGTGTATTTCGGATATCGCCTGTAAGTAATGTTGGTATTTTTTCACACAAAAGTAATGGTCCATTCTACCCGCTGTCTAAAATTCTAACTTCATGCAAGATTTCGTGTCCTTTGGTTTCTATTTGTGACCTTTATAACGGATGCAAAATCAGGAACATTTTGAGTTGCTGGTCCATCCCCTAAATATATTGCGGATATATTTGAAAATAATAGACTTAGCCCTTCTGAGCCTAACCCCACCTTTGTCAAAAATTTCGTGAGTATCGAACAAGAATTGCAATCTGTATATAAATAATAACCCCAACCTGTGTTGTAAAGTGCAAAAATATTACAAATTATACACTTCAATATTATAAGCCAAATTGAAAAAATCGCATGCGATAAGAAATATGAAAAAATTTAAAAAATGTCACAAAATACTACAAAATACATATTATCATCATTATTGACATCTTTTTGTGCGATTTTTTTAGATTTTATACTTTTATGCCCAAAGCTCATTCTAAATTTACAAAATGTATCAAAATCGCTCCAGCCATTCTGGAGATATAAGCATTCTAGCTAACATCCCCTTCCTTTGTATATATACATTTTATATATTTCGCTATATATATCCGATATATTTACTATCGGCATCTAAGTAACGGTCAGAATTGGACTGTTCGTCTATTTGTGATTTCGCCGCATTAAAAATATTCGCGGTTTAATGGAAAATTTGACTTTTATTTAACACAAATGTTGTGGCCTATTTCATCCACTAAATATTACCCGATGACCATCAAAATTGGAAGGCCCAGCCTTAAGCTCTATCCACATGCTAACTTTCGCTTCGATTGGTCTATAATTGTCACCTATAGAGCAACTGCAAAATCAGGAAATTTTTCAGTTTTTGGTCCATTTCAACCCTTAAATATTATGCGATCATCTCCAAAAGAAATAGGGTTCTATTCTGGTCTTAACCCCACCTACATTTTAAATTTCGTGAATATCGGGCCATAATTGCGACCTGTAGAGTGATTACAAATTAACATGGACAGACGGACAGACGGACGGACGGATATACATAGCTAGATCGACTCAGCTCGGCGAGCTAGGAAGATCCATATATATTTTCTTATGTGGGAAACCAATATTTCGTGGTGTTACATAATTTTTGGCCCAATCAAACTTATAATACCCCCAACACATAGTGTTATAGGGTATAAAAATCCGTTAAAAGTTCTGTTAAAATCTTAAAAATACTGAATTTAGCCATTATATTAGGGTCAATACGAAGACGTGAAATACAATATTGAAATACAAAACGTTATAAAATCTGGTAAATAATGCAACTAAAATCATCAAAATACGAATATCGGGAGGTACCGTTAAATTGGGGCTATACGAGGACGTGGACCTGCACAGACAATTTTCCGTCATAGGCTGTAGTACCCATTACGAACTTTAAATACCAAATTTGAAACAATACCGGTGAATAATGGCGCTAAAATCATCAAAGTACCGAATATCGGGAGGTACCGTTATATGGGGGCTATATAGAGACGTGGACTTGCACAAACAATTTTCTGTCATAGGCTGTAGTACCCATTACGAACTTCAAAAACCACATTTAAAACAGTTCCGGTAAATAATGTCGCTTAAATCACCAAAACAACGAAAAAGGGAGGTACCATTATATGGGGTACATCACCCATTTTCAATAATATACATTTGATTAAAATTTTATCAACCTACTTCATTTCGTTCGGAAGCTATAGTGATTTCCACAGACGTATAGACGGAGAGACTGACGGACATCGCTAAATCGACATAGAATTTTATGTTGATCAAGATACATATACTCTGTGGGTCTAAAATGTATATTTCGGAATGGCAAACTTAATATACCCTCCATTCTATGGTGGAGGGTATAAAAATTAAATTTGGATTGACACGGATATTATATACACCTTATATAGGTTAACCTCCGACAAATTTGCCAAATTTGCTGTAAATTGTTAGCATGTGTTCCCATTATATAAGAAACAACCTATCATAGAACAGCAAATATAGGTCAGGGTTTCCCTATAGTCCCCATTTAACTGTGCCTCCAGATATTCCACTGTTGCGCGTACGATCATTGCATGCTTATCCGAAGTTTAT